CCATTGACAGGTCCTGCTGGAAATATAGCACCTGGCTTAGAATTCGACTCTAGATATCATGCTCATATTCATGAAGATTACAGGTATGATCATAATTAATCTCATGATTCATAGTGTGAACTATCTAACTTGGCTTTTCCGCTTTCAGAAATGGGCATGCTTTGTGTAATGATCTACTGACGAACTATGCCTCATATTTTCTCTCCATCGATGGAGGTACCATCAAAAAAGCCAGTGGTTGGAGGTAAATAAATGATTTATAGGCTTTATTTAACTTCTCCACTTATTTTTTCTCGCACTTCTAGTCCTGGCTATACATTATCAACTGCACTTCTTCAAATTGTCACATTTTTTGCAGATCCTGATTTTAGTTTTAATCCCCCATCAGAAAGTATTGCTAATCTTCGTCATATGGTAGAAAAGTTCACATGTGCAACATGTGGTCATTCTTATGGTAATCCAAACCCGGCTATAGTCGATTATAATGAAATAAAGTCAGATAAACAACAAACAAAAGAAGAAATTATATCGAAAGAAGAAGAAGAACTAATGAAATCTGAACGTGAACGTTTACAATTTCAGCGTGAATTAGTAGAAAAATTAACGTGTGGTGTAACAAAACAAAATGTCATAGAAGATAAAATTTGTCTTGGTTATCCGTTATTGATTACACGTGATAATCGTGGTCGATTATGGCCAGAAATCGTTTTGGAACTCATCTCTTATGATGCATATGTTGCAGAAATACAGAAATCTGGTGAAGACAAATTAGATTTTTATGAACGTTTGAAATTTCGTTCTGTCACAGGAGCAGATTATAATCATTGGTTACCTTTGTATATTAATGTTAATCATTTTATGCAAGGACAAACAATTATTCAAAATAGTATTAGTGTTATTTATAATGGTACTGCTCAAGGTAGTGCAAGATATGATTTCAAACCATACATGGCATTGAGTGTCTTGACTACTTTAATGAATAAATCAGCTGTTCGATTATTTAATGGTGAAATGTATGAATCAAAACAAGCAATAGAAGCTTATTGTCATTTTTTACATTTATTGATGCATTTTATTGGTATTTTTCCTGGATTAGGTAGAGTAAAAATATCGATGAACTTTGTTTGAAGAGTATTTTTTCATATTTGATTTTTATCGTTTTTTAGAGAATAGAATTAATAGGAATGTGGAAATGTTTATAACAGCATTACATAATCGTAATAAAAAGGTAGTACCTGATATTGGTGAATTTTTGATACAAATTGCATTATCAACAAAATATAAATTTAATGATATTAAAAATTATCTTTACAAAGAATATTTTGCTCGACAAATCTTTTGGATTAGAAAAAACAGTACAATCCAAAATTTATTAGATATAACAACAAAAGATTTGCCTGAGATATTTCAAGCAGTAAAAGTATCAAATCATCTGTTAGTATTCAATCTGGAAATGGCTGAAACATTCATTTTTCCAGGTGTCAAAGAGTAAGTATCTAATTTTGACTTGATAATCTGAGGATGATCACTAACAATCATCCTTAATTTTGTTTTAATCTTCACTAATATCCTGAAATATTCCTGTACTATGCATATTTTTGTAGACATTTAGATCGATTACATGGATATCCACCTGCTATTATTGTAGAAAAATTTCAACAACGATTAAAAGCCATCAAAGCAATAGATCGATATAGTGTATTGATGCAAGCCATACGATTGAATGATAAGATCAAATCACCGGATGATATGATTGATTTGATAAGACGTTCTATACATGTATCAAATCAACAAGGTTATACCAATATATTATAGATTGCTGAATAACAAAGTCAAAGATGAAACGAACAAAAATCATATAATCAATAATAATAAAGATATTTTCATTGAATGGGAGAAATGGCAATGATATGTGTTTTAGTAAATGAAATTTAAAATTGATTTTTATTTTTTGTATTCTAAATTTGATATGATATCTGATTGTTGGTCATTCGAAAACTAGTTACGAACGGTTTTAATAAACGAAAGTGAGTTTATGATTAAATGATCTTTTAATTCGAATTAATTTCAATCGCTTGTTCATCTAAATATAATGTATTGATCAGATCGATTTTGTTAAATACTGTCATATGCTAACAAATGACTGAAATTATAAGAACTATGTTCAGATTTTCAAATTTAGAGAAGTTTCTATCACAGCGAAAGAATCTATCAAAGAAAATGGCAATGAAATTTACAAATTACTTCTAAAATTTCCTAGTACTTATCGAAATCTATCATAAAGCAAAAATAAATTGGCCAGAAATTACGAAACTTCCTAAAATACTAATAAGAAATTTCTGAGTGAAGTATGAAATTACTCAACCACTATGAAATTATTTCAATCTACTTTCATATGGGAGGAGACAATACTTTTCTTCTCGAATTGTCAATGTTCTCTGTTGAAACTCAATGGCTTCTACATACTTTCCTTGTTTGTCTAAGGCATCAGCTATATTGATGAGGGCATTAGCAATATCAACAAGATTCAATGGGCAACACTTTTCGTAGATTTCCAGCGCTCGTTGATGGAAGTCGAGAGCTTCATCATACTTTCTTTGTTTACTCAGTATAGTAGCGATGTTGGTCAAACTATAAGCAATCTTCACATGATCAGAAGGATAATGTTGTTCTCGTATCATCAATGCCCATTGTTGAAACTCGAGAGCTTTATCGTACTTTTTCTGATCTCTTAGAACATTGGCAATGTTTATCAGGCTATTAGCAACACCAACATGATTAGTTGCATTAAATTTCTCTTGGATTGTTAGTGCTTGTTGATTGAAGTCAAAAGCTTTATCATACTTTCTTTGTTCATGCAGGACATTTCCAATATTGCTTAGAACAGTAGCAATACCAGCATAACCCAATGGATATAATTTTTCTCGAATAGCTAATGATCGTTGAGAGAATTCAATAGCTTCATCATATTTCTCTTGATGTTATAGAACATTACCAATAGAGTTTAAACTCTGTGCAATATTGACATGAGGAAATTCATGATATTTTTCTTGAATAACCAAGGCTTTTTGATAAAGCTGAAGAGCTTCATCGTACTTATCTTGTTCATATAGAGCGTTACCAATAAAGCTGAGAGTATGAGAAATTTCAATATGACTATCAGGATAGAAGTTCTCTTGCATTGAAAGCGCCCGTCGATAATAGTCAATTGCTGCATCATACTTTCTTTCATCGTACAGAACATGACCGATAAATTTGATAGTAGCAGCTATGATGATACTGTCTGACGAATAATATTTCTCTTGAATTTCTATTGCTTTTTGATAATATTTAATCGCTTCATCGAATTTTTGTTGATAACCCAATGTTGTGCCAATATTATCGAAAGTTGTCGCAATGTCCACATGACCCTTCGAATAATAATTCTCTTGAACTTTGGGTACACGTTGATAAAACTTGAAGGCTTCATCGTATTTTTTCTGTTCATGGAGAACATTACCAATGTAATTGAGACTTCTGGCAATCTCTCTCTAATATGATAGACAATATTTTTCTTGTTTTTCGAGTGCTCATCAATGATAATCAAGAGCTTCATCATACTTTTCTTGTGCGCACAATATAATCCCGATGTTGTTCATATGAAAAGCAATGGAAGAATGATCAGATGGACTGTGTTTTTCGACAACTGCTAGTGCTCGTCGATGAAAATCAACAGCTTCATTGTACTTTCCTTGCTCAAATAAGATGTTACCGATGTTGTTGAGACTTGAGGCCATTGAGACGTTATCCGAAGGATAATAGTCCTCTTGCATCGTTATTGCTCGTTGACAATAGCATAAAGCTTCATCATATTTTGATTGACAACGCAGTACACCAGAAATGTGATTGAGAGTGTTAGCGATGTTTGCATAATAGGATTGATAAAATTTCTCTTGCATTGCCAATGCTTGTCGATGAAAATCAAGAGCTTTATCATACTTTCCTTGTTCCTTTCGTAAATACCCAATGTTGTTTAGAGTATTTATAATTTCGTCGTGACCGAAAAAATAATATTTCTGAATAATTCTCAGAACTTGTTCAAAAGATGATAGAGCTTTATCATATTTTCCTTGTTTATAGTGAACGATTGCTATTCCATTGAGACTAAAGGCAATATCGACATGACCATTTGGATAATATTTTTGTTGCATTGCCAATGCTCGTTCGTACATCTTTAGAGCTTCATCATATTTGCCTTTGAAATAGAGAATGTAACTGATCCTGTTGAGGGTAGAGGCGACGTATATATGATCATTTGGATAATATCTTGTATAGATTGACATCGCTCGTTGAGAGAAATCGAGAGCTTTGTCATAGTTTTTTTGATAAATAAGAACGATGCCAATGTATGTAAGACTAACAGCGATATCGATATGAGGATATTGATAATATTCTTCGAGCATTGCCAGTGCTTGTTGATGAAAGATAAATGCTTCGTCATACTTGTCTTGTCGAGCAAGTATTTTACCGGAGCTACAGAGACTATTAGCAATAGGCACATGACCATCCACGTAAGTCTCGTTCGGTTGTAACCAATTGGTTTTCTGTAAGTTTCGACATATTTCTTGTAACTGAGTTTTGTTCGACTGTTCGTCAACAGGTTCCATTCTGTTGTCTGCATGTTTTGAGCGGAACCAAAGAGAAATTCCTAAGAAGCATCTAGTCCAAAACCATCCAAAATACGATTGAAAGAATTCGCCTGATTTCAACATAACAGACCAGAATGATCCTTGAGCATGACTTCGGAAACTGCTACGTTGGTGATTCGATGGAGAGGAGCTATCAATCTTAGTAGATGAATAATTTTCCTTTCGCATCGCCAATTCTCGTTCATAAGAAACAAGAGCTTCTTCGTACTTTCCTTCTAGATAGAGAATTTCACCAATATTGAATAGTATATCAGATAAATCCTTGATCTGTATTGGTTTGACATTCACTATTCAATCATAAGCACGAACATAATATTTCCGTGCTTCACCCCATTCTCCTTTATATTGAAGAACTTCACCAAGACTGCATTCAACCTTTGCAAGATCTTCATTGTAACTATTTGAGTTATTCAGTAAAAGTTCAAAGAAGTGTTATGATTGATTCCATTGACCCATATCACACATCAATCGTCCAAAAAGAATTGGATGCTCAGATTTTCCATTTGACGATGTGAGTCTTTGATATATTTTTCTTTGATAATTTGACCTTCATTCGATGCACTCATTTCAATCAACCACATGTCTTTCTCCATTTTCACACTCTTCAAATGAAAAGTAGCATTTGAATCGAAGAGAATTTCTCGTTGTTCTTCACATGCAAAATTCATTGAAATGAACGCTGTCAGCAACAATGACATTGTTGCTCAGCTGTTGCAGATCGCATTGAATTTCTATGAGAACAGAAATGAGATCAGTTTGTTTCGAAGGACTCATTGCTTGGTTTAATGCAGTTGAACGAAGAATACTTGTTGCTAAAAGACCATTGGTTGAAACTAGTTTACCTTCGTTTTCTTTGAATTGTTCGATTTGATCACTTGTCAATTTCATTCCTCGATAGATGAATAGTATTTCTTTACCAGACTGAATCATTTTTTAATGTTCTCGAATGAGACATTCTGTCAGATCTTTCATAAAATACCGAAATGTGTAGATCTGGTCGAAATCTTTCATTCTCCAAGCTTTGTTGATGATTTTGTAGAGAAACGATTTTTTCGAATACCATTAAAGAGCGTCTTCCGATAGATATTCATTTTAAAATTCTTCAATCACTTCCAATTCTTTGATATTATCTTGATAATAGGAACAACATGCATCAATCATTTCTTGTTTAGCTTCTTCATCGTGTGTTAACTGAAATAGAACATCATGATAAAGTTGAAACCAAAGAAGATCAGTAGTTTGTTTTGATAGATCTTTGGTCAAATATTCATCTTGATCGAAAAAGCTGAATGTTTGTAAATATTTGTCGAGAAAATCGATGTGTTCTTGAATGGAGAAACACAATAAATCGAAATCATTATAGATACCAATCAGTTTTGAATATTCAAGAACTACATGTTCATGATCAACTAGTTCCCAGTTAAAGACAAAGATGTTGTCGATTTGAGGCAGAGTTTCAATATGAGGTAATATTTGCAATGTATCAGAAATTGACGAGATAAACAAGATTTTTTCATCATGAATCAATTGAATGAAAGTAATGCAAGGTTCGTGTTGAGTGTGGAATACAACATAATCATTAATTTGACGTAATTGTTTCATTATTTGTTCTACATGATTATTGGAATTGATCTTTGAATCGAACCAAATTAGAATGATATCCTCTTTGTTGTTAGTTCTGTTCATTATTTCCGATAAATCTTCCAGTATCATGGAATGTGTTGCAATGGATGATTAAAATATAAATGTAGTTGTTCAATTGAAATGTTTAAAAGACAAACTTGAATAAGAAAATAATCAACTTTAAATCTTGAAATAATAATAAAAAATCTGTAAATTTTTACAACATAGAAAAATATGTGGATCTTCAAATCACTTTCCGTGCCATCGACATTAGTGGATTCCATTGATTTTTGAGGGATTTTTTACTCGAAATATTCTATCATATTGTTGACTAAGTAGTTCTGCTCAGAACAAAAATTGACAGAAGAAAGGAATTTCTCGGAGGAATAATCGGTTTAGTCATTCTCTTAAATATTTCACTATCGTGATAAATTTATGTATTAGAAAAGTGTCTATATGGTTTGACAGTACTATAAAAATATCTAAATAAATTTCTAAAAATGT